GCATCTGCCTTACCTAAAAAATACCCTAGAATTGTTTTCCTTCGATTCGTGAGTGAAGCCATCTGGGCTGCTTCATACTCAGAAAATTTGATATTATAAACAGGCACTCTACATAATCTTTCTCCAATTTCCTCTTCAGACATAGCAAGATTCTTTTTCCTATGATGGTTGTAACGGTTTAATTCTTGCTTTGTCCAGTATTGAAGTTCGTATGCTAATTTAAGTAGATCATCATCTGAGAGAATATGGATCTGAAGCATAATCATTGTTGCCACCATAACATAATCCTTGATTGTGCGTTTATACTTCAGGTCCCTTAGGCCCATTCTTGTATTATAAACAACATAACGAGGGTAGAATAATTGCTTTAAAGCATCCCAAGCTTGATCTGAAGTAATATTCGGGGTTTGAGCTGTTGCACGGCAGCCGTTGAAGAGCAAGTTTTGGGGCATCTGGAGGAAGTTGGAGAATTGGGATTGCAGATTGTGGAAAAGCCCGCCGCGCCGCGGCGGCTCTGAGGAGGATGGCGACTGTTTTGGTTTCCACCAATTCATAGTTAGTTATGAAATTAGGGCTCCCAAACTTTAAATTAACTTCTCTTATTTATTCTAACTGAAAGAGTTTGTATTATAGTAATTTACCAAATAAATCTACTTTCCTTTTGAGATTCGATTATGTTGAGCCACATTATTTTTCAAAAATACATTTTTCAACAATGATTTGACATCATTTTAATCACACATTCTTTAATAAAATAATATTACACGTAAATCTAAAACTTTTTCTTATTTTTTAACCACACATTTCCTATTGATTTGACATGAATAATGCATTTTTTTGCCTCGAATGTGGCTCGAACATGGGCTATATATTACAGGATCGAAACAAGCAAAATGATTCAGTTTCTCTCTCTTAATTTTCTTTATTTCAGGAAAGCTCCCATATTTCATTAGTTAATCATAATCATGGGGATTCTATCTTTCTTTCTTTTTTTGATGATTGGGGACTCCGTAGTCGCTATCCTTCAGGCGCACATTGGATAAACTTTCGGGATGACACAATAGCTTGCAAATCACGATAACTAGGTAAACCGCACTAAGCAAGTTCAGTGTGACAGCTCTACCGAGAAAGTAATGATAGGGGGAATCGAATTTGTAACCAAATGCCTCCGTGCTCACATACTCCACCAACTCGATCATCCCATTAATGGTGATTCTATCTTGGTTCAACAAAAGACAGTAAAAAAAGGTAGTAGATGATTCAAAGGGGCAGGCAAAAGAAAAATAATGTGCCCTCAATTGATGCAAACTGAACGATGCTTCCAAAACATATTGAAAGTATCATGACATAATTGTTCTGAAAAGTCGAGCCTGTGACTTTAAAACAAGCTTTTATTGAGAGGCAACCCTTTTTTTTTTTTAATCCATTTTACCTTTTATTTTTTACTTTTTAACTTAGGTTGCGTATTACGTTTTTTGGATTTTGGATTTGTTTTTAGGATACTAGAGTCGGGACCATATTATTCATTTTCTAAAAACTTTCTCAAGCATCAAATAGTGTCGAGTGCTTATTATTAGCAATGTTCTAAAAAGCATAAAGCGTGATTAGATATGGAGGCCGTGTTTCAGGTTTTACGAACTTAGGCGAGGCCTAGACATAAAAAGCCGTTTTTCTTATTTCACATTTTAATAATTAAAATAATACATACCAAACATCTAAATTATAAAATACTATATTTACTTAATAATTCCTATAATTAGTTAATTATAAAATTTTCGAAGGAAAAACTTGAAACTAAATCAAATAAAAGGCTTTTAAAAAGTTAAAATAAAATTTAAAAAATGAATAAAGCACATGTAGACATTTTACTTGAGCCTCGTGTTTATGTGCGATTTTTAGAATACTAATCATTGGTGTGTCAACTTTTGTGGAGTTTCACTTCAAAAAACAATTGTTTTGCCGAAAAAAAAAAATTGTTGTTGCAAAAATTGAGATTTTATTGCAAAAGTAATTTAGCGACAACATGTTTGTTGCGAGTATCGTCGTGCTATATGAGTCAGGAAATGTGTTTTTCGATGACTTTTGACCATTCATCGCATTAACAAAATTGCAATAATATTTGTTTGATGCAGAAAATACGAAATTGCAACACAATATTTGTAGCCATAATATTGCTGCAATGTATATGTGTTGCAAAAAATTTATAATGTGACAAGTTAGCTTGTCGCAAAGAATAATCTAATAGTGTTTTAATGAGAAATGTGTTTGGTGCGAATATTGAGTCACGAAATATATAATGCAACAACTTTTAACCATTAATTGCTTTAACAAAATTACAACACTATTTATTTGACACAAAAAATAAGAAATAGCAACATGACATTTGTAGCCATAATGTCGTCGCGATGCATATATGTTGCAAAAAAAAAAAAAGGGCGATAAGACAATTGTTGTAACGAGTATTACAATAAAGTTTTTACAAGAAAAATGTTTGTTGCGAATATTCTTTTAAAGGTCAAATTTTGTAACAACGCATGCTTGTAGTAATATTTATTTAGTAACAAGTAATACTTGTCACGAAATATGTTTTACAATGTGTTTGAAATATTGCATAATATATTTTAAAATATTAAACATTTGTAGTACAATTTATTATGTAACGAGTGGTGTTCATAATTAAATTAATTTCGTAACACAGAGAGTTTATTGCATCATCATTTGTGCAATAAATGTATAGATTTTGCCTTATTATTTCATGATTATTCATATACATCACATATTTTATTTTATAGCATATAAAATTATTTCACAAATTATTTTGCGACAATGAATATTGAATTATGTGTCCAAGTTGTGCTCGTAGTTAAATCTATCCCACAACACAAAAGTATGTCGCTTCAATGATGTATAATTTTAATCTAAAGCCTGTTTAGGAGTGATTTTTCACCACAACAAATTGATTTTTTAATTGTTATTTCACTATTTCAGCTGTACTTTTTGATTTTTTCACTCACAGGTGATCTTCACTTTTCTCCTAATTGTCAAAAAATATCTTCGCACAGTGCAGATATAGTTGAAGCATGTGTCGAGAGTTGGCAAACTCTTCGCACAGTGCGAAGTAAAAAAAAACTCTCCGTACAGTACGGTGAGATGAGAAACCAGCTCTCCGCACAATATAGAGAAAAAAACTCTCTGCACAGTGCGGAGAGTTGTTTTCAAATTCCTTAATTATAAGTCAAATTTCAAGATTGTAAATTTTTCGTATATACAACGAAACATAGTCAAAAAACATGGCTCAAAATCAATTATGTCTTCTTTAAATTCCAGTGCTATAAGAAAAATTTATCAATTAGAAAGAAAGCCTTTGCTTGTAGACACCCTAAAGCTATTAGGTCAATTGGCCGCTGTCCAAATTATATAAAAAGAAAGAAAAGACGCTCCCAACTACACTTAGCATCTAGCTGATCATTTGAAAGAAAATTAATAATGTAGCAATTTTTTCCTCCAATTAAAATTTTTTTAGAAACAAATATTTCTTGTCGTAAAAAGTAGACCCTATTGCATCACAAACACTTTGTTGCATGAAGTAAAAGTTTGTTGCCACAAGTTTCCCGTCAAAAGTATTTTGGCACCTTACTTTACTTGTATTTTTGGCGACATTCTTTATAATCTATTGCAACTTTTCACGTTTCATGACAACTTTTTATGTTAACTTATATTTTTTGATACTTATTTTTTCTTCGTAGTCTTCATGACGAACCTTAAAAATGTGTTGCGTTACATGACTTGTTGCGGCAACTTTTTGTATGTCGCGATAAATCTAGTCACGAAATCACTATTTTGTTGTATTGAATTTGGACACGTCTTTCACAAAGATGAATGGGGACCAAATCAAGTTATGAAAAAAGAATAAAGCTAGTTGTACAATTAGCTTGACAACTCATGTGTTGTCATGATCTTGATCATCGATTTCGGAAATAGTTTTTAAAATGAATATATATGATATTTGACGACTCAAACGAAGTTGTACAGGGTAGCATAATTGATGAGAAAAATATTGTTTGAGGCCAAGTTAGTTGAGGTCGCAATATCGATGCATGATGCAACCAAAACTGATAATTGTTCCTGGTAGTTGCATGAAGGTGCATGCGACCTCACATGCTCCAAGTTGAGTTTTCCCCCACCAATTCTCTGTAAATCTGCCTCCAATCACCCATGCACTTCTTTTAGGGCATTATAAATAATTTTTATTCTCATCTTTCATTAGGATTAAGGCTTAACCTTTTCGGGTTGAAGGTATGTACAATCACAATCTCCGAATTCAAATATATTGTTTCAAACTTTACATAGGTTAATTATAGCTGATTTGATCATCAGTGCATCTAAGATTGTCATCACCCTGGTGTTTCTTAAGCTTTTTTAATGATTCTTTCTTTTGGAGTTCCATTTTATTGTTAGTGGCCTATCGTTTCACAGTTCTCAGTTGGAGATTAAAATTAGATTTTTAGTAGATTTTGATAAAAGTTGATGAAATATGTGGTTGGAAAATTGTATGTCTCAAAAATTTTATTATTAAAATTAATTGTTGACTTTAATTTAGATTAAATCTAAATTTTAATTTGTGCCAAACATGGGCTTAATTCTTTAACCATCTTTTTTCCCCTTTTTACCGAACACTAGTCGCTATCACGTGCATTGCACGAATTTTGTATTTATCGTATTTTTATTAGTGTATGAATTTTAGTTTTTTTGGAAAGTTTTTGAAGCAATATCTAAAAATATTTTCATGATATAAGAAAATAATTGTAAATTATTTTTACAATTGCATAGCAGTATGCTATTTAGAGAAAATATGATTGTATATTTCATGCTTAAATAAGAAATATGCTAACTATTTTGCTTGTATTTTTTGATAGTGTTGATTGATTGAATTGAATGTGAAAATTATATTTTTAAATTTTGTGTAATTAAATATTGTAAAATTGAAAAAAAAAAACTCCCTGTACAGTGTAGAGAGAGTTGAACCAAGTACAGAGTAAAAATTAAAAAAAAAATTGCATAGAGAAAAAAAACCTCTCCGTACAGTGCGGAGTTAAAAAAAAAAAACTTCGCACAGTGTGAAGAGATGACAAATCAACTCTCCGCACAATATGGAGAGCAAAAAAAAACTCTCCGTACTGTGCGAGAGAGTTAATCTCTTAACACAGTGCGGAGAGTTAGTTTGCAGCATGGCAAAATTCCCCGCACAGTGCGTAGAGAGTTGAACTATGTGTGGAGTAAAAAAAAGTGCGGAGAGAAAAAATATCTTCGCACAGTGCGGATAGAGTTGAACCATGTGTGGAGAGTTGGCAAGCTCTTCGCACAGTGCAAAAAAAAAAAAAACTCTTCGTATAGTACGGAGAGATGAGAAACCAGCTCTCCGCATAGAGAGAAAAAAACTCTCTGCACAGTGCGGATAGTTGTTTTCAAATTCCTTAATTACAAGTCAAATTTCAAAATTGTAAATTTTTCGTATATACAACGAAACAGAGTCGAAAAACATGGCTCAAAATTAGTTATGTCTTCTTTAAATTCCAGTAACAGCTCAATTTTTGAGCATGCAAATCATATTTACGGTATTGGAAAGGAGCTTTCTCATGATTCAGACAATGAAAAAATATGTGAGTTTTGCAAAGAAGGGGATATTGTAAGTACCATGGCATTGCTTTCACAAATGAGGGCTCTAGGGTACCACCCAAATTCAATATTTTATACTTGTTTGATAACAACTCTTGGACATTAGAAGTGAATACAATTTTCAATGAAATTATACTTTCGGATTGTAGGGCAGGAATTAAAGTGTTCAATACATTGCTCAAAAGTTGTTTGAGAAAAGATCTCTTGGAACTTACAGATAAATTCCCGAGTTTTTTTTTCACACTGTGCAGAGAGATAATTTGTCATCTCTTCGCACTTTGCGAAATCTTTTTTTTTGCTCATGTGTGGAGATTTTTTTTGTCTCATGGAGTTTATCTATACTAAATTTATTATTATTTTTTCAATGTTGTTGGCATGATATACTTGTAGAAAAATATTTGTCAATCATTATAAACAAAATTCTTTACAAAATGCAAAAAATAAAAATGCATAATAAATCTTCTTATTATGCTAATAAAATTACAATAAATTTTTTTTTACAAATAATATAAAAAAATCATTTTTATTTTCAACAAAAAAACACATTTAAAAATTAGCAATTTCATAACCAATTTTTTTTAATTCTCGGAAATACAATTATAAAAAAGGAAACAATATTGAATTATAATATTTAATACTTAAGAAATTCAATATTAAATAAATTTTATACATTTATAACAAATTATAAATCCATGTATGCAGCTTACCGTATATACAGCTTACCGTATATGTTACCTACAGTATTTGCAAACAACTTATCATATTTGCACCTTACCATATTTGCTGCTTATCGTATTTGCAACCTACCGTATTTGCAAACAACTTACTGTATTTTCACCTTACCGTATTTGTAACTTACCGTATATGTTGCCTAATGTATTTGCAACTTACTGTATATGCTGCATACCATATTTGCAGTTTACTGTATTTTTATATACCGATTTTTGTACTTACAAATACCGAGAATGCAGAACACCGTACATTCACTTACCAAATCGAATTTCAAAAAAATTTCCAGATTTTTATTTTTTCAACATAAGCATAAAATAAATATTAAATATATATGAAACATAAAATATAAATGCCCATGAATATGGTGCTCAATCTTCAATTTTTCAATATTGAATTACACAAAATTTAGAAATATAATTTTTACATTCAACTCAATCATATCAACACTATCAAAGAATACAAGCAAAATATTTTGTATAATCTCGTATATTTCTTATTCAAGTATGAAATATGCAAGTATATTTTTTCTAGATGACACAATTCTGTTATGTAATTGTAAAAATAATTTGTAATTATTTTCTTATATCATGAAAATATTTATAGATATTGCTTCAAAAATTTTTCAAAAAACTAAAATTCATACACTAATAACAACGCACGTGACAGTCACTGCGGGGAGAGTTTTTTTTTAATTCTTTTTAACTTCGCACTGTACGGAAAGTTTGCCAACTCTCCGCACTGAGCGAAGTTATTGTTTTTTTTTTTTGTTTTACTCCGCATTGTACTGAGAGTCTGCCCTTTTGTGATGATAGTGTCCGTACGGATTGTGCGAATTGTTCACATAGAATGCCATCTCTCCGCTCTGTGTGGAGAGAATTTTTTTTTCTTCGCATTGTACGGAGAGTTTGTCAACTCTCCGTACTATATAGAGAGTTTTTTCTTCATTTTTTACTTCGCACATGGTTTGTCATCTCTCCGCACTGTGTGGAGAGTTTATTTTTATTTTTTTTAAAGCTCATTTGTGAATATTTTTTTTTGGCAGTTTATATTTACTAAAATTATTATTATTTTTTTAATGCTAGTGGCATAATGTGTGAAAGAATATTTGTTTGACATAATTATTTTTTTAATACTAGTGAAATAATGTGTGGAAGAACATTTATTTGACATAAATAAAATGAAAAATAAAAAATGACATCATCATAATAAAATTGGATTCATTTATTATTGTAAGAATAATAGACCCTTATTCCTCTTTTTATTAGAAGTTAGAAAAGTTAAATTACTTTTATTCAAACATACGAATGAACATTGTACACCTTACGCCACAATTCTAAATAAAAAATAGGAAAATTCGAAATTTACAGTTTTGCCATTATATATGCGGTTATTGGCACAAAACGTCCACACCTTTCAAGTCTATTGTGGAAAACGTCTCTACCTTTCATTTTTTGGCATTTTTGCCCTCATTTCAACATTTTTTTGCGCTTGACGTCCTTCCGTCCATATTCCGTTAGTTTTTCCGTTAATTAAAGGGTAATTGGCACAAAACTTCCCTACCTTTCAAGTCTATTGTGGAAAACGTCCCTACCTTTCATTTTTTGGCATTTTTGCCCTCATTTCAACCTTTCTTTGCGCTGGACGTCCTTCCGTCCATATTTCGTCAGTTTTTCCGTTAATTAAATACAAAAATACCTTTTGTTTTCCATAAACAAGGGTAAAATTGCCCTCACCCACTTCACCCCTTTTTCCCGCCATCAACTTAGTCTATAAGTAACAGTAGCAGCAACATGAATCTCAAAATACTTTAAATGATTAAGTTAAATAAAGAAAAAATATCGTGAACACATTATATTTCACAATTCTACAACTACTATTGCTGTCATCTTGTGTCACTGGAAAAATTTAGAAAGACATATTAAATGGGTAGTCAATTTATAATGAGCCAAAATGGTGAATGGCTCTTTTTGGCTCAATGGAGAAGATGAATGGCTCATTTTAAATTGACTCATTATAAATTGACTACCCATTTAATATGACTTTCTAAATTTTTCCAGTGACACAAGATGACAGCAACAGTAGTTGTGGAATTGTGAAATATAATGTGTTCATGATATTTTTTCTTTATTTAACTTAATCATTTAAAGTATTTTCAGATTCATATTGCTGCTACTGTTACTTATAGACTAAGTTGATGGCGGGAAAAAGTGGTGAAGTGGGTGAGGGCAATTTTACCTTTGTTTATGGAAAGAAAATGGTATTTTTGTATTTAATTAATGGAAAAACTGACGGAATATGGACGGAAGGACGTCCAGCGCAAAGAAAGGTTGAAATGAGGGCAAAAATGCCAAAAAATGAAAGGTAGGAACGTTTTCCACAATAAACTTGAAAGGTAGGGACGTTTTGTGCCAATTACCCTTTAATTAACGGAAAAACTGACGGAATATGGACGGAAGGACGTCCAGCACAAAGAAAGGTTGAAATGAGGGCAAAAATGCCAAAAAATAAAAGGTAGGGACGTTTTTCACAATAGATTTGAAAGGTAGGGACTTTTTGTGCCAATTACCCTTATATATGTCATCCCATTCCCGTGTGTGCATAAATATATATACTTTTAAGTACCATTTTCAAAATTCCCAATTCCCTCCATACTTCATGGGGGATGAAAACGAAATGCCCATGCCCATTCCATTTCTAATTGTAGGAGTCATTTGTGCTATAATAGTGAGTATATGGTTACCAGGACCTACAAATTCTCCACCACCTCGACCTCAACAGGCTCGATTTCCACCTCGACGTCGAACCAACTGAATCGTGAATCATTGTTTTGTTTTGCTTTTCGTTTTCGTTCTTTTTTTCCTCTGTACTACCATAAACAGCAAAATTTTCTCGGCGGCAGTTGCATCAGACTCCAAGAAGAAGCCGCGTACTGGAATTTCACAGCTGTCGCTGAAAAACGTGAGCATGATTTCTGATCTGAAGGATCTAGCTTCTTCTAAACTGGAATCCATCGATTGCCAGCTGGATTCATCGCACTCTGAAATCATGAAGGATGTGGAAGCATCACAGTGTCGTCTCCAGAAGCGGCTTAAGGTCTTCATCATTCTGTGTTTTTTGCATAATATTGTGTTTATGTACATGCATCATTGTATACAAATATAGATTTCGTTTTTCAATTTTTAGATTAATGAGGTAGAACATAATTTGTGAATAATTTGAATTTTACATTGTGATTTGATTTCTATATGCAGAATGATTGAAACAGTTTTTGTCGAATTTCTAATTTCATTTCTCATTTTAGCATAAAGAGACATCCTTACTTCTATGATTTTTCTAATTTTTTATTATAGGATAAATATTTAGTTGATGATCTCGGCATTTTCAGTTCTCATAGTGAGTGTGTGAGCTTGTGCAAACTGAAATGGTACAAAAAGTATAATTGAACACAATTATCTAATTGCTTGCAGATGTTGAAATGTATAAAGTCTCGTATGCATTTTTACCTTTTAAATTATTGAGGCAATATTGGTGTTTTCCTAGAATATTTGAAAGACAACAATAAGATGTTGTGCCCAGAGAGTGAGAGGGACTTAGAGTATATGCTTTAATTGTTTGTATAAAGGAGCATTTGTTAATGCCAAGAGGTCTATCTCCTCTGCCTACACAACTATGTGTTTTCTTCATTTTATGCATGAAAATAGAAAAGATAGGATTATAGTTTCGTTTTGCCCACATGTCAAAGAAAATCTGTAGACGTGCATCAAAACTCTGGTCCGATATTTGCAGCCAATAGTCATGCTTCGCCTTGGTTATCCTTGCTGTCTTTTGCCTCCACCGCCGTGCCAGCGCATCAAGCATGACCCTTGCAAACTCCTTCGATTCAGGCATCCCTATCATAGTCATTAAGAAAAATTGAACATAATTCTAGTAAATACATATTCAGTTGATCATGCATAACACTGAGCTGATAAATTGAAGAATTGATTACCTCTGCATTCACCAAAATCTTCTCTGAAGAGCAAGCCGTCTTTAGCTTAGTCCTCCGAGAGCTGTTCTGATCATTCGACAAGAACTGTTCTAATAATTCTGCATTTATCTTTTCAATTGTCTTTAGGGAAAACATCCACGATATCTTGTTCTTTTGATGTTTTGAGAAGGGTATCTGCTCAATGATATATTGTAGTATGGTGATTTTATTTTCTGTATACTTGCATTTTGTCTGAAGTTGAAACTGCTCTTTGTTCAAGATGGTACACTGGAATTGACCTCATTCTTTTCATATGTTTGTATAATAAAAAGTTTTCTCGACATGGAAGCTTATTTTATGATATGTTTTGAATTTTGGCATAATGATTTTTTTATCCTGTTGTTAAATGGAGTAACTTTGTTCATGGGATCCATGCAAGAGGCCAACAGCCTTGAAAGCCTTTCAACACCCTTTTAAATTATTGAGGCAATATTGGCTTTTTCCTTGAATATTTGAAAGACCACAATGAGATGTTGTGTTGGTACTGGACTCTATGTTTTACTGTGTGCCCAGAGAGTGAGAGGGACTTGGGGTATATGCTTTAATTGTTTACATAAAGGAGCATTTGTTAATGCCTAGTGTGAGAAGAGATGGAGTTGAAGCTGAGAAGAGAAGGAGTTGAAGAGGAGAAGAGAAGGAGTTGAAGGGTAAGAGCGCCTAGGCGCCATTTGTGGGCACCTAGGCGCCCGAGTGCTGAAACAAATCAGAAACATGGCGCCTAGGCACCCCGATAGGTATATATATGGCCAGTTTTTTCCTCCTTCAAAAAGCACAAGACCTAGACCCGATTTTAGAGAGAAAATTGAGAGAAAACTTGGAGAGAATTTTACAAGATTGAAGGTTGTTCATCTTGGGTATAAATTCAAAGTTATTTTCTTTCTTGGGGATTAACTTGAGACTTGTTCAAGTAATCCAAATATATTCTTCTACATTTATCCATTGAAATCATTTCTTCCCAATTTTCTTGTTCTTGAAGTGGTTTGGAATTTTTCACATTGTCAAGCTTAATTTGATCTTGGGCAATCTTTGGGAGGTGTTTTCCTAACAATTTGGTATCAGAGCTTCTTCCTAAATCAAGATGGTTAAGCTTCGATTTTTGGTGAGTTGCTTGAACTTTGTTGTGCACATAAGGTGTTTGTGAAAATTCCCAAGTGAACTTTGGTGGTTTATTTTCGGTAAACAAGTGGATAAATCATGTCTACTAGAGGAATGGTGAAGATTGGGAAGTATGAAATAGAGAGATTCAATGGGAAGAATGATTTTTCATATTGGAGAATGTAAATGAAAAATTTGTTGACTTCTCGAAAGTTGCATAAGGCATTGACGGGAAAGGAGAAGTAGCACGTTGATATGTCGGACGAGGATTGGGAAGAGCTAGATCTTGAGGCATGAGCGTCTATCATTTTTTGCCTTGAAAGAGATGTTGCTTTCTTGGTTGATAGTGAGGTAACGATGGCGGAGGTGTGGACAAAGTTGGAGACGAACGTCATGACGAAGACTCTAACAAATCGAATCTATTTGAAATTCAAATTGTATACTTGCAAGATGGATGAAGGTACACCAATCCGGGAGTACGTCAATAAATTTGATAGGATCATATCGGACTTGAAGGACATTGATGTGGAAGTAGATGATGAGGATCAAGCACTTCTACTACTTCTTTCATTGCCAAAGTCTTACCAGAATCTAGTACAAACATTGATGCTTGTGGGTGATAAACTTGTGATGGAGGACACTAGAACGTCACTTCTAGCGGATGATCTTCGAAAGATTGCAACTAGTGGCATGTCTACCATTGGTAACAAGGAGCAAGCTCAAGGATTGTTTGTAAGGGGTAGAAGCAATGTGCGACCAAATGGCAAAGGAGAAAAATCTAGATTGAGTTCTAGACCTCTTGCGGAAAGGTCTTGTTTCAAATGTGGCGAGCTTGGGCATTTCAAGGTGAATTGTCCTAACAAAAAGGGTTGGAAGAAGAACAATAAGAACAACAACAATGGGAAGGTGCAAGTCAAGCAAGAGGTAAGCTATGCCTCAGAAGGAGGGGAAAGCGATGAGTGCTACACCATCTCTTGTGATGAAAAAACCTCCGGTAAGTGGATTCTTGACTCTGGATGCTCTTACCATATGTGTCCAAATAGGAAGTGGTTTACTACCTATAGAAGCACTGATGGTGGAACTGTGTTGATGGGTAATAACCATTCCTGTAAAACGGTGGGGCTCGGTTCAATTAGAATCAAGATGCATGATGGAGTGGTTAGAACATTGATGGATGTTAGACATGTTCCTGATCTGCGAAAGAACTTTATCTCTGTTGGTGCCTTAGACTCCGGTGGTTGCAAGATTGTAACATGGAATGGAGTAAAGAAGATTGTTCGTGGTTCTTTGATTGTGATGAAGAGTATTCGTGAAGGCAATCTATATGCCCTTCAGGGTACTACAGTTACAGAAGATGTAGCAGTTGGAACAAGTGGAAGTGGTGGAGACCCATGTGAGTGCACTAGGCTATGGCATAGGAGGCTTGGGTATATGTCTTAAAAGGTGCTAGATTTGCTAGTCAAGAAAGGTTTGCTAAAGAACTTGAAGAAGCCTTGCATGGATTTTTGCGAGCATTGCGTATACGATAAAGCACACCGAGTTCAGTTCCAGCCAAGCAAACATAGAAGCAGAGGCATTCTAGACTATGTGCACACGGATGTATGGGGTCCGGCTTTGTCACTTCCAAAGGCGGTTTCAGGTATTTTGTTACATTTGTTGATAATTATTCTAGATATGCTTGGATTTATTTTTTGAAGCATAAGAATGCGGTATTTGACACTTTCAAGAAAAAGAAAGCAATGGTTGAAAACAGAACAGGAAAGAAATTGAAGATTCTGCGATCTGATAATGGTACTGAATATACAGATGGTGCTTTCAAGGAGTTCTGTGGTAAGGAAGGTATTGTGAGACACTGGACAGTTAGAAATACACCGCAACAGAATGGGGTGGCGGAAAGACTGAATCGCACATTTCGAGAGAAATCGATGTGTATGCGATCCTATGCTGGTTTGGGCAGAGAATGGTGTGCAGAGTCGGTTGCAAATGCTTGCTACATTATGAACCGGTCTCCACATTCAAGGTTAGATGGAGATGTACCTCACAGGGTATTGACAGGAGAACATGCAGATTATGAGAAACTCAGAACATTCGGATGCACAGCCTACTATCATGTCAACGAGGGAAAGCTCGATGCGAGGGCCAAGAAGGCTATATTCTTGGGGTATGCGGCAGGTGTTAAAGGCTATCGCCTTTGGTGTGTAGAGGATTCTAAGTTCATAATCAGCAGAGATGTTACTTTTGATGAGAACTCCATGATAGCTTCGTTGAAAGCTATGGTGCCCGGTGGTGATGATGTTGAGACTACAATGTCTCAAGTTGTTGACATTGAACCTACAGATCAACTTGATTTTAGGCATGTTCAAGAGGAGCATCAAACAGACACTCAAGATGAGAGTGATGATAGGCTTGAACAAGAGGCGGTTCAGCAAGAGAATGTACAGGCACAGCAACAACAGCAGCTTCCAGATAACTTGGCTTCCTCTAGGGCACGCCGTACTTACAAGCAAGTTCTAAAGTTGGGGTCAGACGAGCCTTTGAGGCACTATGGGCAGACAAATTTGGTTGAGTATGCACTCTCGGTGGAGGATGATAAGCCTACCACTTTCAAGGAAGCTATTTTAAACAACAATAGTGAGAGTTGGTTGGCAGCAATGGAAGAAGAGATGGAATCACTTCACAAGAACCAAACATGGGAGGTTGTCCCATTGCCCATAGGTAAGAAAGCTATTGGTTGCAAGTGGTTGTACAAAAAGAAAGAGGATCCTACCAAGCTCGGTGGTACAAGATTCAAAGCAAGGTTAGTGGCTAAGGGGTTTGCACAAAGAGAGGGAGTTGACTACAATGAGATCTTTTCTCCTGTGGTCAAGCACACTTCCATTCGGGTGCTATTGAGTATTGTTGCTCATCATGATCTTGAGCTGGAACAACTCGATGTCAAAACCGCCTTCTTGAACGGGGACTTGGATTAGGAGATCTATATGCATCAACCTGAGGGCTACATGGTTGAGGATAAGGAACGTCAGGTATGTCGCTTGAGAATGATCTATATGGATTGAAGCAATCTCCTCGGCAGTGGTACAAGCGATTTGACTCCTTCATGCTAAAGCATGGTTTCTCCAGAAGTGAGTATGACTTTTGTGTTTATATTCAAAAACTTCGGGGAGGTAACTATATCTATCTTCTATTGTATGTGGATGACATGCTTATCGCTTTGAAAAGCAAGGTGGAGATAGATAGGTTGAAATCTCAACTTGGTAAAGTGTTTGAGATGAAGGATATGGGGGTTGCTAGGAAAATACTGGGTATGGAGATTAGAAGAGAGAGGACGAACCGACGAATGTTCTTGAGTCAAAAAGGCTACATTGAGCGGGTTATTGCTAGGTTCGGGTTGCAAGGTGCAAAGTCGGTGGTAACTCCATTGGCTCCACATTTCAGGCTCTCTGGTAAACAGTCTCCTACTACAGCGGAAGAAAAGGTACGCATGGATCTGTACCTTATGCTAGTGCAGTTGACAGTTTGATGTATGACATGGTGTGTACACGCTCAGATATTTCACAAGCGGTTAGTGTGGTCAGTAGATTCATGGTGAATCCGAGGAAGGCACACTGGGAAGTTGTGAAGTGGATCCTGAGGTACTTAAAAGGTACCGCGGATACGGGTTTATGTTTTGGTGGATATGCATGTCATATAAGTGGGTTTGTGGACTCGGATTATGCAGGTGACCTAGATAGACGACAATTTACTACTGGATATGTGTTTTGCATACATGGTGCCCCAGTTAGTTGGCGATCGATGTTACAGGCTACAGTTGCTCTTTCTACTACAGAGGCCGAGTATATGGCCATGGCAGAGGGAGTGAAGGAAGCATTGTGGTTATGGGGTGTTCTAGATGATTTGGGGATTGAGCAGGATTGTGTGGACTTGTGGTGTGATAGCCAGAGTGCGATTCACTTGGCTAAGAATTAGGTTCATCATGCTCGAACCAAGCATATCGACGTCAGATATCATTTTGTGCGTGATGTTATAGAGGAAGGTGATATTTCACTCTCGAAGGTACACACAAATGAGAACTCAGCAGATATGTTAACCAAAGTGGTAACGGGTAGCAAGTTTCAACATTGCTTGAACTTGCTTCACATTAGTCTCTGTTGATATGCCCGAGTGGGCATGGCCCTTTGGGGCGGGGTTGAAATGAGGTGGAGAGTATAAGAAGGTGGAGGTGAACTACGGAGGCTTGATCCCGAGTTTTGGGTACGTAGGCAATCATGGTTTGAATGGTGCAGCCGAGTTTTGGTGCTTGCTTCTTCTTCTTGTGTTCGTCCAAAATTTGAGGTCTATCAAATGATGTACGAGGTGGAGAATTGTGAGAAGAGAAGGAGTTGAAGCTGAGAAGAGAAGGAGTTGAAGAGGAGAAAAGAAGGAGTTGAAGGGGAAGAGCGCCTAGGCGCCCCGAGTGCTGAAACAAATCAAAAACATGGCGTCTAGGCGCCCCGATAGGTATATATATGGCAAGTTTTTTCCTCCTTCAAAAAGCACAAGACCTAGACCCGATTTTAGAGAGAAAATTGAGAGAAAACTTGGAGAGAATTTTACAAGATTGAAGGTTGTTCATCTTGGGTATAAATTCAAAGTTATTTTCTTTCTTGGGGATTAACTTGAGGCTTGTTCAAGTAATCCAAATACATTCTTCTACATTTATTCATTGAAATCATTTCTTCCCTATTTTCTTGTTCTTGAAGTGGTTTGAAATTTTTCACATTGTCAAACTTAGTTTGATCTTGGGCAATCTTTGAGAGGTGTTTTTCCAACACCTAGAGGTCTATCTCCTCTGCCTACACAACTGTGTGTTTTCTTCATTTTATGCATGAAAAATGGGATGCTGCATTTTGGCATAATGATTTTCTTTCCTTGGTGTTAAATGTAGTCACTTTGTTCGTGGGATCCATGCAAGAGGCCAACAGCCTTGGAAGCCCTTCAACACCCTTTATTCCAGGTCACTGCATTGCCAATATTTTAGAGTTCCACTATATAACAAATTTTGTAGCGGTAATTTTGTCATTATGGTAGAGAAGTTCAGAGATTAACTGTTTCTTTGATGTTGCAGAGTTGCTATTATGTTCCACCATCACTTCGCTCTAAAGCTGCTGTTTCAAACACACCTCTGGGTAAGTACTTCAAAGTCTGATGTTATGTTTTTTCAATGTTAAATATTTATTGCAGCTGGTACATAAATATGGTAGGAGATATCCTGTGAACAATTTTTCTTCTGCCAAGCTACTTGCAACTTGGAATGCAGGTTTAATGTTTACCCATGTGACCTTTGAAGTTTTTCTTGTTTAGTGATTGTTGAGCTGTGTAACTGTTTATTAAAGGCATCTTTATTATCTATTATACGGAGTGCTAGGCTCTTGAGCAATGGGCAATTTTTTTTCTTTTGTTCTCTAAAGTGTATTCTCATTTATATCTGCAGCGTTGTTTTTTTTTTTTTTTTATGCGTGGGGGTGGGCAGGGCAGGTGTTTTACGTATGAGGTTGTGATAAAATCGTACTTTTACAGGTATTCAAAGGAAGTTGGACATGAATAATCAGGTGAGGTGGAAAAGCTATTGTGTAAATTAAATGCATGTACAGTAGCAATTTTTTTGTTAATTTTGGGTTTCTTTTATTAATGTATTAAAGTAAATGATGATTTAGCAGACATTTTCTATGGAACTAAGATCTTTCTCTGTTGCACAATTCAATTGTAAAATTTTTTAATCTACATTTTCTTTGTGTTCCAATTGATTTTCCTTAAAAATATCAACATTTTTAGTGCATATAGTTTTTGCAAGTAGCGATTGTTTGACTGGTGGTTCAAACCCAAACGATGCTTGCCAACTTTTCACATACTTCCTCTCTTGGAAACTTGTCAACAGCTTCAAAAACAAGCATGTCAGCAAGTAATGGATGAAGCAGAAAAGGAATATAAGAAGACGTCTGAGCGAATAAATGAAGATCGAGATGCAATGAAGGTGCGGAAAATCATCACTACTTGGACACTAAAATCCCACCATTTTTACTACCTTTGTGCTCTGTTTCAGGCTTCATATGTGAAATTCTTAGAAGCAGCACAGGCCAGCGCATATCGCTGCAAGTTAGTTATCTTCAATTGCGATTCCACGTTCTAACAAGCTGCTGAATGGATGGTGGATACCATTCTTTTCCTTCAAGACTATATAGGTTCTATCATTTTACCATAGACACAAATCACATACACAGATAAAGATGTATATACCAAGTAACGTGCAATACTGAAATAAAATTCGTTCAAGAGGGCCATATGAGCTGCTTAATGCATTTTATCACTATGCATTAACGTTTACATAATACAACATATGATCATATGGTCATTGCTTTGTCATTTTGTTTTTTTGGTTATAATAGATCATTAGTTTTGGTAATCATTCCGGACATTGTAATGGAAGCAATACACCGTTGGTCAATGGTTTGCATCTAAAACAGATAGGTCATGCGATGAAATCAACAACAAATGTTAATTCCTGCCTTTTACATTACACAAATGTAAGAAGAAAGAATAAAGAGTGTTAAGCGACAGACAACAGTGATGGTTTTTGCTAATTTTGGAAGGAATATTAATTGTGCTAGTATTAAATATTTTCAGTTACAGGATATTAGGTTATATTTTTTAGAAGTTGGTATTTTTAAAATATTTTATATATCAATCTATATTTTTAGTTATATTATCATAACGTAGTAAAATATGAAATACTTTTTTTTTTAAATGATGCAAAACTAAGTATGATTAATTTCAAAACTAAGAAACAAGGTTTAAAAATTAAAAAATCAAATATTATTTAAATTTTATTTATAAAATAATTAATTTAAAATATATTTTATTAATTAGATATATTAAAGATTGCAATTCTATATCATTTTGGTCACAAATTATTGAATTAATTAATCACAAATTATTTCTCGATCATGAATAAAAAATTTATAGGTCACAAATTATTTCATAATCATGAATCAAAAATTTTATAAGCCATAATTTATTTATTAGTTACAAATTAAAAAAGTTTTTTATAATAGCACAAATTACAATTTTTACTAGTCACTTTGGATCGTATATTATTTATTGGTTACAATTTCAAATAATTGATTACATGTTATTTGTTGGTTATAAATGAATCAATTTTTTGGTCACAGTCAACTAAATAATTAGTCACAAACACACCTATCCCTGCCATCCCACCTACAACCACCTCTACGACCATTACCACCACCACCACCACCCCGCTAGCTCCTCCACTTGCACTATCAACAAAAACAATCATAAACCTCCACCAAACCAAAATATGGAAACCACCACCACCACCACTTCTCCAACCACCAAAATTAACACCTCACCACCATTGTCAGATCCACCACCACCTGCACCAATCACCTATAGCACCATCATCACCATTGCAACCTATCATCATCGCACCTAGATTAGAGGGAGAAACCAATCCAAAACCTCAAAACCATCGCCACTGCATCCGACCTTCCACCCACCCCGCACCACCGCACACCTCAAAACTCTGACACAAGTATAAACACTCACGAAGTCTCACACAAGTATAAAGTTTGGGATTAGATTTTGGTTTATTGGCACAAGATATCCTAATCTTTGTCCTTATGATTTTTATTTTTATTTTTTTATTTGATAGGAAACCCATTTTTGAGGTGTGGAAGACCACATTTTCTCAATAAAGCTGTGTAAAATGGCAAATATACTCTTCTATTTAAAAAAAATAAAGAACTAACTTCATCTGTAGTTTCAATTTTTTCAAAAAAATGTAAACAAGATCCAAATAAATAATTAAAATATAAAGGAGATTTATATATTTCACTTTTTGTTTTTTAAAATATGATGAGAAAATATGTTGCTTTACACCATTTTGACGGACTTTTGAATATAAAATGTATTAACTATTTGAAAGTTTGATGAGTATGCAAAATCGTTAGGTACATAAATGTTATAATGAACAAATATTAATAACATTAAATGCAAATGTGGTGCAAGAAATAAAATTTGTAGTGTGAATATAATAACCCACTTGAAAAATGATATTTTGGAAGCAATTTTTACTCAATTTAACAAACAAATATTTCAAAAAACAAAAGTCCCCAAGTAGTAAGGAAATTGGGCTATTATGAAAGAGTCACAGAGTGTTTGGTAAGGATTAAAATTAGACTTTTTAGTAAATTGCGATAGAAGTTTTTGAAATGTATAGTTGAAAAGTTGTGAGATCCATAAAAGATGTGATTAATATTGATTGTTTTACTTTAACTTATATTAAAATAAGATTTTAACCCAAACCAAAAGTCACTCATGCTATTTGTACAAATTAAGTTGACAAACTTGATTTACAAATTATGTGTTGACAATATCTAGACTAATAATTTCATAAAAAGTTTTTAAAATCAGTGAAACACTTATAGTGATGGCAACGGGGCGGGTTCCGCCCTGTTTCTCCCGCCCGGGCGGGGCAGTGGGCTTGCCCCGTTTATTTTATATATATATAATTTCGAGTTCGATTGCAGCTTTGTAGGGTTTAATGTATAAAAGAAAAATTTTAATTAATATTTGATTTTTGAAGTTGTAGATCTTATTTCTTAATTTTAAAATGGATCATCCTTAATCTCTTACATATTAAATTTTTCCTTATTGAAATGTGCTTGAGCTTACAACACAAGTAAAAAAAATACATAAATAAATGGGTAAAGCACTAGTTTTACGTGGATAATTTTACCATACAAATGAACAATATTTAACCCAGTTCTAATGAGTAATTTGTACTTGAAAAATTAAATTTACTCCATTTCCTACTTCAAAGCCGACTTCAATCTCTGGGTTACTAGTGTAAATACATAAACAAAAGGATGGAAGCTAAAAAGAATGCTCACGTTTGATATGAAAAACTCAGCTCTGCTTCCCGCTCATTTTACCAAGTAAAAACCTAACCTTTATATTAAAAAAAAAAAAAAAGTTTCACAGGGCGGCGGGTTTTTTTTGTCCCATTCAGGGCGGGGCGGGACGAGGTAAATTGCCATCACTAAACACTTAGTTTGTACAACTAGATTAAATTATTATGAAAAAGTATTGTTTGAAAAGTTTTCAAATTAGCAGAGAAGAGGTAAACATAATAAGGTTTTCCATTATCCTTAGTTCTGAATATGGTCCTGTGGGAAATTTCAATGCGGCCAAAATATATTCCTCTCTCTCTCTCATAGCCGAAATATATTTCTCTCTCTCTCTCTCTGCCCCTGGGACATAATTCAGTGGTGCAAAGGATAGGAGTGAGGTAATCTCAGCCTTGCTGACAGCCGCAGTGTGAATGTTCGATTCCTGAGATATGAAATTGGATTTTTTGTGGGCACCAGTGTACGGGTAAATTTTTGTTCCCTAACCTGTTGGGGCACATTTAACGATTTACCTCCCTCACAATATTCCAAGAACGAGGCAATGGGGGCCCTTAAGGTTATGATTCAACCTTTATTATATTCCTCTCTCTCTCTCTCTCTCTCTCTCTGCCTCTACTTCCTCTTTAATGTTGTTTTCTTCCTAGTTAATACTATTTATTGACCCTCTTTCTTCCTTGTTCTTGATTTTGCTTCCTTTTTTTTTAATTAAACTTTTTAATTATTTATTTGGAACTCATTTACATTTATTTTTGAAAAAAATTGAAAGTATAGTTGAAATTAGTTTTTTTTAATTAAAAAGAAAATATATTTATCATTTCACCAGATTTTATTAAAACAATGGGGCCTTCCGCACCTCAAAAGTCATATAGGGTTTTTTGCTAAAATATAATAATAGGGTATTCCGCAATCAATACAAAGGTCAGAAGAGTTTTGCGCCAATAAACATTAAATTTTTTTTTTCTCTTTTCAACAAATGATGGAATGAATATTTTTCTTTCTTTATTTGTTGTATTTCCTTCTTTTTTTTTTTGTTCAATTTATCTCCTATTAGTCCCTATTCGGACTCCATTTTAATTTTAACATATATTTCTTTTTTTTCTTTTCAAACATACATCCTTCAATAAAATAACATCATACGTAAATACAAAAAATTTTCATTTTTTTTAACCACATTCTTCAAAAATCACAATTTTAAATTACATTTTTTCCCCCAAAAAACTCATTAAAATGGAACCGAAACAAGGGCTTAATATCCATTCCCACATTGGATCAACCTCCTCTAAAATGCTATTTTGAAAGTGCTTTTAGAGGAAACCAAATTGGATCAACTTCCTCTAAAATATTTTTTAACTAGAAGAAATGCTTTCACAAAATTAGTCAAACGACTCAAAAATCAACTTTTGAATATTAAAAGCTCGTTTTGACATGTCCAAAGTCATACAAATGAGTCCTAATTTAATTTTTAAATAAGACTAAAATTATGTTTTTATTAAATAAGTTAAAACATCCTTTTTGGAGCACTCTTCATTTCTCACGTAAAAATATGCATCAAATTGACCCTGTTTCAAAGTATTTCATTGTGCACTATACTAACATTAACACCATATGCACCGAATATAATTGGCTTTCATTCCAGTAACAATGTCAAGAAAAATGTCAAAACTCAAGCTCAAATTTCTTAAAGGTCTTAGAAAGTTAAACAAATTTGTCACATGTGTGGACTTTTTTTCACAAGCCCCTCTCACATTCCCTGTTTAAGCAGCATAATTCTTATTGTATACTTAAAAATGATCATACTGTAGGACGATTTAAACTTTTTTTATTTAAATTAAATTAATTTAAATGTTACATTTACTTAACAAATGTGATACATGTTTTCTAAATTTATAATTAATGAATATATATACAATGGATTTATGCATTCGTCTATTCGTGTTTGTAAAACTTATAAAATTTATTCATTTTTATAAGTCATTTGTAAAGTGTTAAGAAATATTGGACAAAGATAATAACTTCAAAATCAAAAAAAGGAAGGCATATTTACAGCACAGTCTAATTTCCCCATTTCATACTTGAAAATTGATTAACTAATGGTCAGGTTAGACTAACATCACTAATATTGAACCAAGACATTACTCCTAAATATAGGAATAATTATAAAAGTTGAAATAATATTTCATTATACTACTAATTAATGTCACACATGATCTATTCCTATGATCCCTACAACGAGGCCAGAAATAAAATTATAAACTACCTAAGTAAATTTGAATAAAAACTTCATATAATACCTTATAAATTCCAATAATTGTATTAAGAGTTTGCACGTAAATAAGTATCTAATTATCATGCCTTATTGAAGACAATCTACGAAGAAAATTATTTTCAGACTAGCTTTTTTTTATGTTTTCTTTGTTCAACATTTATCCAAGTTGGTCG